TATTACAGCAGAGAAAAAATATTATAGTTTCAAAAAGTTATTAGTACCTGTGAAAACATACTGTTTGAGGATTTGGTCCCATTTCTGATATGCCTCAGAGATGCTGCCATACACACCAAGAACATTCACTGCCTCAGTTCACCCTCATGACACTTGCACACCTTGCAAGGCTGTCATTAGTATCTTCACTTTGTAAGAGGTCTGAGCTGGCATATCAAGCTGGGGTGACACCTTCCTCAGCTCCTAAACAGCAGCCTCTACCTACAGGGAATGGCACACAGACACCAGCACTGAGGGCAAGGGTTTGAATTTGGACTGGCATCTTCATGAGGAATCAGTGGGAAGCCAGGCAAGGAACTTGTCACTCTCTGAACCCCTAGACGGAGCAGGTGTTGCTCCAAGTCTACTGGCCACTTAATGCCAAGTTGGTGGAGGCAGGGTAGATACGGGGACCACCCATACTAGAACCCTAAAGTCAGGAATGGCAGTTTTGTAGAGACCCAAAAGTCTCACTCTTCACAATGGAATGACATCTCAAGCATTTCACCTGGTTTTACAAATCTCCTAGGACAGAAAGGCACATCTGAGAAGTGCCAAAGAGACCTAAAGCAGCTTGGTGATCAACTCAGGACAGGAAAGAGTAAGTGAACAAGCTGGAAACGTGCACCCCACTCTCAGGGGCTGCCAAATCTTCTCTTTAGAAAGCTTCTTTGGGAAGGGAGTGAAATTTCATCCCATTCCTATTCTGCCAAAGAGTTTAATTGCAGGCTTCAGACTAAATTTTCTAGACTGTGAGCAGAGCATAAAGCTCAGTCATCCTCTCCGGACTGTGACCCTCCTGAGCCTAATTCCCAGCAGGTGCAGGAAACAAACCCGAAATTCCATTGGACACATCCAAAGCCACAGCAGCTCCTGTCCCTCTTTTGTTTCAATTCGTTTAAAGATGAGAAACAAGCTCTGAGGAAGGCCCAGGACCATTTCTTCTAGCTGGAATCTGTCTCAGCCTCTTTTCCTGCTTCACCACTTGTCCGTGGGTCAAGGCTCAGAAGAAACATGGCCAGGGAGGCGGCGCTCACCTTAAGGAGCCGTGAAGAAGAGAGGGAGCAGCGTGACTCAGCCCTTCTCTGTTGTGGGTGGCTCCAGAGCTGGAAGCCAAGGCACCTGAGCCAGGAAGGGACGGGAGGGATCTGCTGAGGGTCTGGAGGAGGTCAGCTAGGACAGACTCCTAGCTCTCCTAGGGGAAGCTGGGAACTGGTGACTTTTGCAAGATGAGAACTCCCACTTGTCTCAAATGCAGAATAAAATTAAAGGTTTCAGTTTTAAAAGTCTTTCAGGGTGCCCACAATCAAGAATAAACAGACATCTGGTATTTTCAATGTGTCATAAAAAAAACCACAATGGGAAAATTCACTGATAGGCGTTAAAAAAAAAACCCCACAAAAACGGGGGCGGTGCCTATGGCTCAGTGGGTGGGGCGCCAGCGCAGGCCGCATATACCGAGGGTGGTGGGTTCAAACCCAACCTCGGCCAAACTGCAACAAAAAAGTAGCCGGGCGTTGTGGTGGGTGCCTGTAGTCCCAGCTATTCAGGAGGCTGAGGCAAGGGAATCGCATAAGTCCGGGAGTTGGAGGTTTCTGTGAGCTGTGTGACGCCACGGCACTCTACCCAGGGCGATAAAGTGAAACTGTCTCTACAAAAAAACCCCACAAAAACAAAGTAATTTTCCTCAGCAAAATCTCTAATTTCCACCCCATAATTTTAAAGGTAATCCTTTTCAGGAATATAGGTAGGTGGTATAATTCTTAGTAAAAGGCAATGTTCTGTTGCATTTATTTATTTATTTATTTATTTATTTATTTAAATTTCAGGACAGGGCAGAGCATTTGGATTAAAGAAAACCTTCAGGTCTGGAGCTAACCAAATGTGGGTAACAGGCCATGTGATCTGGGGGCACCAGTGACCTCCTGGAACTTTCAGTTCTCATGTGGGCAAACCTGGTGCTGGTCTGTTCCTCCCACGGTTGGGTTCCTGTGATGCCTGAAGCACTTGGCCCAGTGCCTGGCACACACAGACACTTGTTTTGTTTGTTTTTTTTTTTAAATAAATGATAGCTGTGTACATTAATGCAATCATCAGGACACACAGACACTTGTATGACATCATACAAGGACAGTAACCAAGGGTAAAGTTACTGACACATTTAACTCACATTTGAGCTATCTGTCTTATAGCTATTACTCAGTTAAAAGCAGAAAAAGATTAAATAACAAATCCTGGGGCTTGGTGCCTGTAGGTCAGTGGTTAGGGTGCCGGCCACATACATCGGGGCTGGTGGGTACAAACCCCGCCCGGGCCTGCCAAACAACGACCACTGCAACAAAAAAAATAGCCGGCGTGGTGGGCGCCTATAGTCCCAGCTACTTGGGAGGCTGAGACAAGAGAATTGCTTGAGCCCAAGAGTTTGAGGTTGCTGTGAGCTATGACATTATGACACTCTACTGAGGGTGACAGAATAGGACTCTGTCTCAAAAAACAAAACAAAACAAATCCTGGAAAAAAAGACCATAGTAAAAACAGACCAGGAGTTGAGGGCAGGACTGACTATAAAGGAATTTGAGGGAAAAATCTTGGGCCATGGGAACTGGCTTGTGGTAATGTGTTATGCTACATAAACTTATCAACACTTAAACAGTACGCATCAAAGAAGTAAATCCTATGAGTTTAGATTTTATCACCATCAACTGTTAAGAAAAGAAAAATCAGGAGATCTGGAGGCTGGACTCCATTCTAGATCTATTTAATAGTACTCTGATTGTGGTTACAGCATCTGCTCCTAGGTTGAGGCTCGGTCTTCTTACCTCTAAGACATTCCAGGAAGGTCTGGGGAAGGGGGGAGAGGCATCAAGGACAGAAAAGAGGAATGAAGGACTGGTGCATGCTCTGACATGGAGGGGACTCTAAAAGCATTATGCTGAGTAAAAGAAGCCTGGCACAAAAGACCACACAGGGTATGAGTCCATTTACACGACATGTCTGGAACAGGAAGATTAGTAGTTGCTCAGGACATAGCAGGAAGAGGACACCAGGGAGTGACAGCTAATAGATATGGAGTTTCTTTTGGGAATAAAAATGCTCTAGCATTAGATTATGGTGACGGTTGTTCAGCTCTGTAAATACATTAAACCGGTTGCACCATTTGCATTGAATGAGTGAACTTTATGGTGTGTGAATTATATCTCAATGAAGATGTTTTGGAAGACAGAATGAATGAAAGAGCCTCAACCAAAGACCTGTGAGGGGTTTAGGGTGTCTGAAATGGGCAGTGCTGACACAGTGAGGGGTGGCAAAGGAGGCTGAAGTGGCCAGGAGTCATGCAGAGTCATATGGGCCACACTCAGGAGCCTGAATGTTCTCTGGAAGGTAAGGGACAAACATCAGAGTTTCTAGGGGCGGGGAAAGCAACATATCACATTTAATTTTTAGAATACCACTGTGACCACAGAGGGCATGCTTGGATGCAGAAGGTTGGTGAGGAAGAGTAAAACTAGGGCAATGAGCAAGAGCAGAGCATTCTACAGGGCAACCCTGGCTCACTGTTCCTTTTCCTGCAATCCCAGGAACCATTTATGTTTATAAACACAAGTCACCACTCTCAAATAACTTATGCTTTAGATGGAAGGTTAAGACGCTCCCATAAATGATTACAATACCTGATGGAGTCTGGCAAATTTCTGAGGAGCTTCGATGCAACACTGAGTTTCAGACCACAAGTCACTGAGTCAGGAACCAGTGGTGCCATGGGTAGGGGCACAGCTAGAGCTTGAGGACAACTCTACCTTCTAGGTTACAGAACTAGCGGATATTTTCCAAATTGCAGAGAATCTCCTCTACCTTCCAGGCTATAGAACTAGCTGATATTTTCCAAATTGCAGAGAACCTCCAAATCTCAGGCTGGAAGGGATCAGAAAGGTCCTGGAACCACTCCCTATCCGATGCCTGAATTCCACCTACAGGACTCCTGACTTTCTTAAAGGCCCCCACAGATTTGTCACAAAGGTAGACCATTTATCTATCTTTGGATGCCCTAAGCCACTAAAGTTTTTTCCTTGAGCTTGGCTGCCGTTCCCAATACACATCTCTGCCATTAAGGCCACCTGGGCAGCTCCATCCTTCCATAGGCCAGGCCTCTGGTTTGTCAACACTGGCCGCCATGTGCCCTGCACTGGGTCTTCTCCCTAAGGCTACGCTGTTCCCACCCTTTCAACAGTGCTTCAGAGAGGTCTCTGGTCACTCTCAGAAGTCTCTGAGACTCTGGTCACTGGTCTCTGGTCACTCTCAGAAGTCACTAGCCTTCCTTGGGGGAACCTTAAAAAGTAACTGCCATAATTACCAGAGAATTTGGTCTGACCACTGCAGGGACAATAGACCATCCCTGGTCTATTAGTGCAGCTTAAGTTAAATATGATCACAGGCTGCCAGGGCACGTTAATGCAGATGTCACTGGCTGGGCAATAAAAATACTAAGTTGATTTCTCTCAAGGTATTATTAAAACACTTGTTTTCCACCCTGTCCTTAAGAAATAGTGTGCTCAGCCATTCCACACGAGAACTCACTTCTCTGCTCAGTTAACCCAGACTAGACAACCCAGGTAGTTAACCCAGGTGAACAGTCACACCTGTTCAGATGGTAGTGAACAGGAAAAGGGGGATACACAGAGCAAGTGGAGAAGTGCAGCAAAGAAAAGGAGGAGTTTCCAGAGTATCAGTAAGTCACACCAAGTGCTATTACTCTAGGCCTTTCTCAGGAGACAAAAACCAGAGACGTGATGTCTGAAACCTTTATCCACGAGTGCTATGAAGGACCTTGGAACTAAAGGGACTGGAGACGGGTGGTGCCTGTGGCTCAAAGGAGTAGGGTGCCGGCCCCATATTTGGAGGTGGAGGGTTCAAACCCAGCCCCAACCTAAACTGCAAAAAAAAAAAAAAAAAAAAGAAAGAAAGAAAAGAAAAAATGAAAGGGACTGGAGAGATGTCTATAAGGCCAGGTGGGTCAGGAGGGGAGGAAACCTGAGCAGAGCTCCCGGGACCTCCACATCCTGCTCCACCAAAGCAGGGGTGAAATGCAACGAGCCAGTGGACCTCTGAGGGCAGGTGCCTAGGAAGGAAGGCTCTGTGATCAGTAAGACGAGACTCAAGAGTTCCGCAGAGGCAAGCTGTGCATTTAACTGAGCTCTACATTTACTTGTTTATACCTCTCTGTACCACACACACACACACACACACACACACACAATCTGAAGCGCTATGAAGGGATAAACAGATTAAAGCAGAAATGTGTGAATAACAATCAGGACTGCGAAGCGGTTTCGTTTACCTTGTTCAACAGATGTTACCTACATTTCACAGCTGAGAAAACTGGGGCTCAAGACAATTAAGTAACTTGCCTAAGATTTTATTGTTATTAAGTGGCTATTAGATTTGAATCTAGATTAAAAAAATGCAACCTTTCTCCTCTCTGGATCCCACTGCCTGTACCTGCTGGCTTCTCTGTGGACACTCCCTACCCAGGCAGAGGGAGGACTGGTCAGGAGCTATTGGAAAAGTGACCTGGGCAGGTTCTTTATTCTCCCTGCTCCTCAGTTTCCCCAGTTGTGAGGTGGAGATGATCCTAGCACCTCCATCCCCAGGACTGTTATGAGGGTTAAATGAGTTAACACTGCTAACACACAGAACAGTTCTGGCACACAGAAAGCATTAAACCAAATTAACTAGTTAACTAAACTGGATGTGGACCTGTGTGAGTAGCCATCATCTGCAAGGTGTCAATGATACTGGGATGTCTCACAGTCACGACACGCCAGTCACCAATCCCACCCCGGTACCTTATTTACAATCATCTCTTCTTCTAGCCTGTGTTGAACATTATTGGATAATTTAGCCACTCTAATTGTTAGCACTTAACATGTCTACTGATTTAGACATGTGAAAGAAAAAAACGTTGAAATGCAATTTGATATCATTAAGACTAAAAACAAAACACAAGAAGGACAAGTGGTATTAAGAGCCTTTCTTTCCTGTTTTAACAACAGGTACACGGGCAGCATCAGGGCAAATTAACTCCATGACAGATGCCCTGCAGGAGGACCCAATCTTTTTTTTTCTGCCATACCTTAGAAGAAGAGGAGTTGTCTTGGGCCACACATTAAACACACAAACGCTAAGGAAAGCTGCTCACCAAAACAAGATCCGTGCATAATTTTCACAATATCTGACATCACACATAAGGAAAACAGGCCTCCAATAACCCACATGTGGCCTATGGGCCACAGGTTGGACACCCCTGCTACAGTGTGTCAAGTGGAGCCCTCCTCACTCCACACCATGGCCACAGTGAATGGGAGAAGAATACTGAAGGGCAGATGGGTCAGTGGCTATTTTTTTAGAGGGGCATAGTCTTTGGTTTTGGAGTGCTAAGATTAAGTGTTCTCCCTTATGTTTTCAAACTTTCATTAGTATTTATTTGTAACACAGTAGAGATGATCCTACGTATTGACAGTTTAAGTGAATGCTTGGAAGTGTTTTCATTTAAACCATAGCAATGGGATATCTAACCTTCACGCGGTCAGGGTCCACATAATGCGCTTTTTTCATGTCACATTCTTCAGTAGGATAATTTAACGTGAGAGTATAAATGATCCACAATACAAACATAGGCAATAAATATCTGGAAAACAATCAATTAGGTACAATGAAGTCACGTGATAATCATAAGGCATAATGTGAAATAAATGAAAATCGAACCCCAATCTAGTTTGCCTGCCAGAAAGCATAAAAGTACTAGCTTTAACTTGACCTCAGGGATGAAAGGAAGGTACCATTTCCTATTTTCCCAACAAGATAAACTAGTCACTTAGGACTGTCTTTGTTACAAGCAAATATAAAAAAACCATTTTTTTTTCTGCAAAGCACCATAATAAAATCTGAATCACAGTGCCAATTATTGGACTTAAAAAAATCAAATAATATTATTTATTTATTTTTAGGCTAGTCAAGTAAGTGAAGCAGTGGGAGTGGAGAAGGAACAAAGGAATCTGTAACTGGTTGTGATCAATTAGTTGTCAAGTAAGATTTGATACAGGATCTCAGAGTTAATGTTCTGTGACTTTAAAATACTATCGGTCCTTTGAAATAAAGCAAAATAAAACAATCTAAAGAATTCTTCCCAGAATTGAGACTGACAGTATCATCAGCTACCCTTAAGAACATTTAAAGTATTTTAAAGATAATTCGTGCTATTATGCAGTTTGACACACACAGAGGATCTGGAGAAAACAGCTGAGGCTACTCTTAGTTCCAGATATCTCATTTTTAATAAGCTTCCCAGTGACACTGACAAAAGTTAAAAAAAAAAAAAACTCAAGAAACTCAAGTTTAAATCAAAATGTAAGAACCACTGATTTAAATCATTCATTTTCTTGAAAAAAACAAAGGTAAGGAATAATCTTCAGGGGAAAACAATCCCTGAAGGACAGTTTAAAAAACAGCATCTAGCACAACATACTGTATATAATAGATGTTAAATATGTCTGGTTGAGGCTGATGACACTGTGCTGTTTTTAAGACTTCTCAGCTCTCCCTTCAATAGGGTTCCCAGGAAAGCCTAGCCACGCCCCTTCATTTTTCCCTGGGACTATGTTAAATGAACAAATGTTACCATCTGTGTAAAAAAGCAGGTTGGTGGAGCAGAGGAAAGCACATATACAAAATACTTCTCATCTACATAAAAAAACTGGTCACACTCGTTTTCTTTAAGTGTGGAGGGGAAATGTGGGCAGCAGGGATTAGCCTATGTTTCACCCAATCTCTTTATAACTTTTGAATATCCAGTGAACATAGTATTACCTACTCCTCTCTCTAGTCCCCAGCAAAGAGATGTCTCATTCAGTGCATGTAATATTTCTCTTATTTTGATTAAAAAAAGAAAGGAAAGAGTATTAAAGGTAAGCCCAGGATCGACAGCACTTGGCACACTGTACTATGTGATTCCTGGTGTGAGGCAGTCTAGCCCAGAGCATGAGCTGCTGGACTCCTGGTCTACCTTGTTGGTGGTCTCAAAGCTGACACCAACACAATGTCAGGCACATTGGAGGCCTCAATAAATACGTGCTGGTGACTACAAGGAGATTAAATATGATAGGAATGTTTACTCATATAAATTTCCTTTTCTCACCTTTCCCCTCTACACCTCCTAAGTTAGCAAAGTGAAATGAGAGACAAGATTTCAAGATTAGATTTCTATCTTTCGACATGCAAAAAGGTAATTTTCAACTTAGTTTGGTATTAAAAAAAGAAAACCTGACAAGTTTTTCCTTTATTAATTCTTATCCCTTACTAGGATGTAAGTAAGGGTGACCAGGCTGAAACACGCTGTCATCCTTCTATTCAATATTTAATAGCATGCAAGTGCCTTCAGGGAAATTTAATTAACCATATTTTAGATTAACTTAAAATAGCTAAGGGGAAAAGCTTTCTTTTGTTAAGTAATGGCATGGAGTGAGCACTGTAGGAGGTGTTTACTCAGCCACCCAGGCTGAGGTTGAGGGTACTGGGTGGCGCACGCTTCCCAAATACCGCTGGACACAGAAACCCGCTCCAGCTGCTCCGTGAATCCTGACTTGGCCGTGCCTTTGAATGACTCTTTGGCCAAGTATGCCTATCCAACATCAGCCAACTTTAGAGCAATAATTGAACTTTTCTCCCAGTTCGACACAGTTAACCCAAACCAGGGATTCTGCAGTCTGTGTGGTAGTACTTACTTGAATAACTTTTTTAACAAAAAGCTGGGTCTTTTCATCTTGTTTCGAGCTGGGGTGTACCATTGCAGGGAAGGCCTGGAGCAATCACTTCTTAGTTTCACACAGTTATTCTCACTTGGCATTGCTGTGAAGACATGAAAAGAGGACAGTGGGGAAAAAAGAGGAAGGAGTCAGGTGGGTTATGTTTTTCAAAGAACCTTATATGAGGTTCTTCAGCCACATGCACCGGGGCTGGTGGGTTTGAACCCAGCCAGGGCCTGCTAAAACAACAATGACAACAACAACAAAAAAATAGCCAGGCATTGTGGTGGGTTCCCATAGTCCCAGCTACTGGGAGGCAAGAGAATCGCTTAAGCGCAAGAGTTTGAGGTTGCTGTGAGTTGTGACACCACAGCACTCTACCAAGGGTGACATAGTGAGATTCTGTCTCCAAAAAAAAAAAAAAAAGAACCTTACATGATGCATCCATACCATGGAATACCACTTGGCAGTGAAAAGGAATGACCTATTTATACACACAACACCTTGGATGAATCTAGAGTTATTCTGAATCAATACCAGAAGGTTACATATTATATGATGATTCCTAACATCACTAAAGTAACAAAATTATAGAAATGGATAATAGCTTAGTGGCTGTCAGGGGTTATTGAGGGGAAGGTAGAGGTGGCTATAAAAGGGCAACATGAGGAACCCATGTGGCGATGGAAATGTTCTGCATCACCAATTGTGATTTGATACTATGGTTTGCAAGGTGCCACCTCCACAGGGAAAAGAGAAAAGGAAACGAAGTATCTCTGGATTATTTCTTACAACTACATATCCCTGAATAAGTTAAAATTGTTTTTCAAAAAAGACCCTTGTGCCAGGCATGGTGGTTCACACCTACAAGCCTAGCACTATGGGAAACCAGGGTGGGAGGATCACTTGAAGTCAGGAGTTCGAGACCAGCCTGAGCAAGAACAAGATGGAAAGAAGGGAGGGAGGGAGGAAGGGAGGGAGGAAGAGGGGAAGGAAGGAAGGTAGATTGTGTGTGGTGGAATATACCTATGGTCCCAGCTACTTAGGAGGCTGAGGCAGGAGGATGGCTTGAGATCAGGAGTTCAAGAACAGTCTAAGTAAGAGCAAGACCCTGCTTTTACAAAAGAAAAAAGAAAGAAGGAAGGGTGATTAAGGGGAGGAAGGAGAGGGAGGGAAGGGAGGGAACAGAGGAAAGGGGAGGAAAGGTGACAAAAAGAGGGAAGGGAGGGCGAAAGAAAAATTAGCTGAGCACAGTGGAGCACACCTGTAGTCCTAGCTACTCATAAGGCTGAGGCAGGAGGATCACTTGAGCGCAGGGGACTCTAGTCAGCGCCAACAGTCTTCCAAACAATAAATAAAAAATAATTTTAAAAGACCCTTTATATTTTAGAGATAAACAGAGAAATACTTATAGATGTAACTGCAGAAATAAGTTCTGCTTGAAAAACATCAAGAAGGGGATATGTAGGAGTGGCAGGAGGTAGGGGAGAACAGATGAAACAAGACTAGCTTTAGGCCAGGCATAGTGGTTCATGCCTGTAATTCTATTACTTTGGAAGGCTGAGGAAGGAGGATCACTTGAGGCTAGGAGTTCATGACCAGCCTGGACAACACAGTGAGACCCTGTCTTTAAAAAAAAAAAAGAAAGAAAAATTGGCTGGGTGTGGTGGTACATGCCTATAGTGCCAGCTACTCAGGAGGCTGAAGCAGGAGGAATTTGAGGCTACAGAGAGCTATTATCCTGCCATTGCACTCCAATCTGGGCAATGGGGTGAGACAGTGAGACCCTTATATTTAAAAACACACACACACACACACACACACACAATAAGAAAAGCAGACTAGAAAGCTAGTCTTAAAGAAGCTGACAATTGCCAAAGCTGAGAGATGGGTACAGGGGGTTTATTATGCCATTTTCTCCACTTTTGTGTATATTTAAAATGTTCCATAATGAAACTGTTTATAAAGAAAGCATTACATTGGGCTGGCATGGTGGCTCACACCTGTAATCCTAGCACTCTAGGAGGCCAAGGTGGGTGGATTTCCTGAGCTCACGAGTTCAAGATCAGCCTGAGTCAGAGCGAAAACTCGTCTCTAAAAATAGCTCGATGTGGTGGTGGGCACCTATAGTCCCAGCTATTTGGGAGGCTTAGGCAAGAGAATCACTTCAGCCCAAGGGTTTGAGATTGCTGTGAGCCATGATGCCACAGCACTCTGAGGGTGACAAAGTAAGACTCTTGTCTCCAAAAAGAAATAAAACATTAAATTAAAAGCAGTAGAAAAGTGTCACATTAAGAAAAGAGGAGAAAAAGAACATGGTATGGCTATTTTAAGTGAAACTTTCCTTTAAAAAAAAATATGTTCTTGGGTATGCCTGCCTACTTATTCTTTTTAATTAATTTCCTTCTCAGTTTTTCACGTTTTAAATAATATTTCAAGGGTATTGTCGTAGAAATTGCTATGTCTTATCCTGTATCAGTTTTCCTTTTCCTCTCAACTTAGTAGAACACCAGATTTTCAAGACTACATTTCCCAGCCTTCCTTGGAGCAAGGCATGGCCTCATGACTAAGTTCCAGCCAATGGGATATGAGCAGAAGCATCCTGGCAATTTCCAGGGCGCATCCCTTGGCATACTCCCAGCCTCTCCTCCTTTCCCTTCCTCCTAGTTGCATTACAGAAACATCGAGCCACTCTACACCACACAGGGACAATATTATCCAAGGACAGTGAAACAACAAAAGAGAAGACTACTGGACAGTGCTGCCATTCCACCTCTGAACTCTTCTATTTTAGATGAATAAAATTCTGTCTAGTTTAAGCAATTGTTAACTAAAAGTAAAATTATATCTCAACTAACACATGTGCCAATTACTTTTATAATAGTTATATATTAATTTAAGAAATAATGTCTTCACTATCTTTAGTCTTTCAGTCAGAAGGAAGAAGTAATATCTCATTATGTACTTTATATCTCCGATTAGAGTTTTGCCTTTTTTTTTTTGCATTTTTTGGCTGGGGCCGGGTTTGAACCTGCCACCTCCAGTATATGGGGCTGGCACCCTACTCCTTTGAGCCACAGGCGCCACC